TCAGTCAAGATGTCATTGAAGTGCAGATATTCAGCTTTAATTTAAGGGTTTGAACAAGAGTATTGCATTTAGCTGATTAGGAATTAAAGTCAATTTGAGATATTTTCAGAAGTTCAAAATTAATTGATACCTAATCCCTTTCTGTGTGTGTTTTTTCCATAAGCGGATAAAGGAATCTGGAGTTGATCCCAAGTGTTGAAACTGCATTTATTAGCTCTTCATCAGTCTTTGAATAAGAAAAAATCATGTTTTCAAGTTATTGACTCAAAGTTTTTATCCAGCTTCCTCTTCTTCTTTTTTTTTATAAAACTGTCAGGCAGCATCCTGGTGTTTGGGACGTACAAATGTAAATGTACTAATTCATCCTGGTGAGCAGATGTTTGGTGTTGGCGGAACTCACAGAGTGCGACGGCGTTCAGCATGCCCGTGTATGGTGAAGCACCGATGCTCTGATAGATTATGCCGATGCGGTCCTGCACAGCACCCTTAGTGACGTCGATGTCTAAATGTATGACGAAGAAGGCCACAAACAGACCATAAATCAGGTTCTGGGATAGACGCATCAGAACACCCATCCTGTCTCTGGACAGGTTTCTTACTGTGCGCCTGCACACAGAACACAGAAGGGCAAAATTAATGAGCAAATTTTTTACCTACTGATACCCTACGAAGAAATTATCATGATGCATGGAAGTAATCTGTATATGTTACATGTCTTTTATAAAGCAGCACACTAAGTGACATTTGTAATTTGTACCTGGAATATTGTGATCATATTTCAGTTTTTAATAGTGATTTATGGGTGGTGTGTACAAGCACACTGACCTGAGGAGAACTCCAAGTTTGGCAGCACCGCTGGGTGACTCTTTGCTCTTAAAGGGTATGGCGGGCTTGTCTGATCTCTGCAAGCTCTGCTCCATTTTTTCCAGCATGCTCTGGTAGATGGTAGACCTCTGATAGGCTGACGTGATTTCATGCATGCGAGTGAATGTGGCTGCCTCCCTCTCGCTGCTGCGTGTGTCCACTGAGGTGAAGTCAACTGTTTGACATCAAATTGAAATTTTAATGTTCATGCTATGGAAAAATCTTCTTCCTTTAAAAAAAAATTATGACTTATAATAAAAACACAACACCGTGCAGTGTGCTGGGTCATATCATACTGTACCATAGATGTCAAAGGGGTTGCAGTACTCTGGACACTCATATCCACATTGGCTGAAGAAATCCACCATCTCTTCTGTTTGTCCACAAAATACTAGCTCCCCACGACTCATTATAGCTATCCTGTTGAACACCTTGGAGGTAGACACACACAAAGAAACAATATTATTCCATCAGCATGTCTGTGAAGGTTCTCAGTCATCCAGGTCAT